TAACGCCAGTTACCGCGAAACCGTTCGATCCTCTTTTCCTCGGCTGAACTAACATCAACCGAACCAAGTGATCCAACATTCGATATTTCGGATGAAAATCTCTTTTCCTTCTCGCGTGCAATTATATGCGTGGATTTTGTTATCGTCGATCAAAAAGTTTTGCACAGTCGAAATTGAAGATCGAGATTGAGATCGGATCGAAACGATTCGACGATGAATATTCTCTGCTCGCAAAAGTGGTCAGATGAGACGCGGCAGTAAGACTTCCATGTAAAATCGATAAAACCCCTGTCCGATTCCCTGGTCGCGTTCGCACAGAAGGGTGCAGTTAGAGCGGAATTCTTCTATAAAGGCTCCGAGGCGGTTCCTACTTACCCGATTAACGTTCCCATCGTTCGAGGCATCGGCGTTCAGAGCCATTCTCTCGGACAAAATAAACGACACTCGATTCTTTCCTCGTTCCCGTCTCCCGCGAGAGTGTGCAGAATCCAACGTCCTCGGTGCTTTCCAAAGTTTGCAATGCCCGTCGGGTGACAGGCCTTTCCAGAGAAAGATCTTCTTTTCCATTATTTCATTTCATTTCGTAATAACGTTACATCGGCGCAAAATATTATAGTTTGATATTTGATCAACTTACGAGGTTAATGCAGGTTTCTCCGAGGTACCATTCTTGACGAAAGTATTCGAACGTTTGTAGAAACGTTTTATCCACGTTATACGAAACATTTTGATATTTTATTATTAACACTGTGGCGAAATACGACTGTGTCGTTATTATATCAGTCAAGTTTGAAACAAATCTATATATCTTTATTATATGTTCAAGATACATGCATGTTTATAAGAAATATAAATATAAATATAAATACTTGTAATAATGAAATTTCATATGTTTCATATTACACGCAAATTGTCTTCTATGCTGTCTTCTATGCCACATTGTATTCTCGACTTATACTTCTCTGAACAGACGATACTTTAACGATCGCAGAATCTCTCCGCGGGTTGTCTCGATTCAATAATAATCGAAGAGAACGAAATAACAATCGCTGTCGCGTTTCTCGTTTTGTTTATTCGCAGTGCAGCGAGGAGAGATTCTCCGGAGGTGGCGCGCTTCCATTTCAGCTAATTTCCGGTTGCGCGTGCCTCTGCCTTCCGTGTGCCAAAGCCTTTCGGGAATGCGGTAACGTTCCGACGAGGATCGATCATTCGAACATTCACCCGGTCGCGGTTTTGTTTTAAAAAGAAATCTCTTTCTTTTGTCGGATGTGATTCGAAACTCTCTGGTGCCCCTTGCGAACGAGTTCCTTCCGCTGTTTGCCGTGAATTTGTCATGGAATTTTCCCCTCTCGGACACGGCGCGGCGGCGACTGCGAGAAATTTTCATTCTGTTTGTCGTAGCAATCAATCCACGTGCAATTGAAGCAGTTTTCGCTCGCGGATCGCGCGCTTGTTTGCGAGGATCTTTCGATTAGATTACGCCAGCGGGGGCGTCAGCGATTCTTCGCATTTTTCAACGATTTTCCCGATCCACGAAATAGTCTTTGGAAGATGGAGTAAAAAGAGAGAGTGTGAAAAAGAGAGAGA